ACTGGGAGGGCGAGGGAAGGGGTGGGCAGGGGTCCCGCGGTGGGGGCGGGGCCGGCCGGGGACGGCCCGGGCAGGCGCAGAGGGAGGCTGGATGGAGGGAGCGGAGAGCCCGGGCCGCCGCCGGCTGTGATGCTCGGAGCAGCCTCCGCACATTCTCCAGCGACAGTGAGAGCCAAGGAAAGGTCCTCCGCTCTCCCACGCACTGAGTCCTTCCCTCACTGGGGAAACTGAGGCCCGGCAGAGCGAGGGCCTTGTTCCCACAGCCCAGCCTCCCCGCCCCATGCACGACAGCTAAGTCCTGGAGCGAAGTGCCTAGGATGAGCCCTGGGCCCTTTCTCGGCCCTAGTCCGGATCTGCCGCCCTCATCTTCTCCCTCTGCATCCAGCCCCTGCAGACCCTGTCATAGCCTTCAGAAAGCTTTGCTTCCGGCCTCATTTAAGGCGCTGAGCATCCTGTCTCCAGAGGGGAAACCCCATCAGGCCCCTGACCCTCGTTCCTTGGGCCCAAGCATCCTCAACCAGACCTGGGAACCCCTCATGCTAACAGTCCAGAATCACCCTGTAGGACAACCATCCGGCACAGGCTGTGCCCGCTCCCCACACGACACTCCGTTTCACAGGTCATCATAGTGTTCTCTGAGCCCTCGTGTGAACAGCCCAGTGCTGGGGGCTATAGACCTCCAAGGACCCTGTCCCAGTCCCTGTTACCAAGAAGCTTATCATCTAACTGCAGAGGGGAGGCTCAGAATGGAGGGCAGGGCAGGATATTATAAGGTGTGAGTAACCGACATTAAGTTTAAAGGGGTTCAGCTGAGTTGGGAGGCTTATCTGTTGAGAATAGATAGCCCTGGAGGCTTTGGTCGCAGGTAAAGTGGAGAAGGCAGCCTGCCTCCAGGTTCTTCCACAGGTGACTGAACTCCATCCTAGATCACACCTTTATGGGCACGGGTTTGGTGTTCATTTCACCAAAGTCTGACTTAACTGTGTTTGAATGGTACCTTCGCCTTTGTCATTCAAACATTCATTCAACAAATAATTCCTTGCATGTCAGCTTCGGGCCTGGGACTAAGCTGGGCAGAAGGAAGCAAGATTTGAGGTCACTAACGAAAGACACAGACTACAGACAATCCACTAGTGCATGGAAAGCTTTATTCACGTAAGAAAAGATGGCGAGATCAGCTTCCCTATTGGGCACCGGTCTCCCGTGGCTGGCAGGATCCCCCTGCCCTTCGTGTGTGGCCAGGGCAGGGCAGATGTCCTACGTACACCCCTCTGGTGCCGTAGACTGGAGAGGCCCTCCCTGCTGGGCACAGAACAGAAGTAGGGTTGGTCACATACCATATTCTGCGTGCACAAGGGCAAGGCACAGAAAGTTACTCTGTACCCAGAATGGGGTGGGGAGTTGGGGGAGGAAGGCTTCTCTGATAAGGGGAAGGAACTGGGGGAGAGGGAGAGTGACCCAGTTCCCAACCTCCTTATCAGAGAATGTTCTGGGCCCAAGGCCTTTACTTGGGTGGCCAAATGGGAGGCGTGGAGGCAGGCCATTTGCCCAACAACAGCAAGCTGGTCAGGAGGAAGAGGGAATATAGTCCCTGTCTCACTGGCAGGAAAACTGTGGCCCAGAGAGTAAACACCTGCCCTGTGTGAGGAGGGGAGTCTGGCAAAGCTGACTCTAATCTCTAATCTTTGCTAACTCTTTGATGAACTAGATCTAAAGCCAGTTTGCAATTCTTGCTAGCTTCCTGAACCACATAAACTTCACCCTGCCAGAAAATAGAAATTTAGACCAACTTTTGCTCCTGGAGTCCTGAGTTCCAGCTCGGTCTCAGCCACTCAATAGCTTTAGTTTTTTTAACTAGAAGGAAAAAACAGGCTACATAAGTATGTGCCATCCCACTAACCTATAAACTGTATTCAGGCCTCTCCTCCACCCCTCCATTTCCCCAGCCTAACCCAGTCCTGGTTACTGGCTGCCCAGGAGGTAACTGTAATTCTGATCTTCTCTCTGGTTGTGGGTTGAATTATGTCCCCAAAAAATACGTGTTGTAAATTCTAACCTCTACGCCTGTGGTTATAATCCCATTTGGGAATAGGCTGTCTTTTTTATGTTAATGAGGCAGGATTAGTGTACGGTGTATTTGAATCAATCTCTTTGAGATATAAAAAAAGATTAAACAAACAAGCAGAGAGAGATGGGTTAAGATAGATACCAAACCACATGGAGATCTCCAAGGAACCAGGAAGCCTTCCCCCTTGAGCTGGCGCTCTGAATCTGGACTTCTAGCCTCCTAAACTCAGAAAATACATTTCCGTTTGTTAAAAGCCATCCACTTGTGGTAGCTCTGTTACAGCAACACTGGATAACCATACAGCCACAACGTGCTTACTCATAATCTTTCCCTCCAGGTTCTTAAGAGCACAACTCGATGCTCAGCTAGCTGCCTAGAAGTCTTATCATCTGTGGGGCAAGAGGAAGCAATTCTGGTGCTTTTTGACTCTAGGAGCTGGGTTCTAGAATCCTGTAGAGCCCCTCCCTCCCAACTCCACTGCGCTCCTCTGGCCCATCTGCAAGACATTAGTAGTTACTCAGCAAGAGACCGTGTGATCAGGCAAGGGGGCTTTGGCTCGTGGAGACTCAGCCTCTTGGAGGCCAAGGGCAGGCCGAAAAAACTGAGAAGCGAAAGATCCAAGACCCCGTCTCCTTCCAAGCCATGTTGCCTCCACTGCCGTGTTCTCTGCCTGCCCTTCCCTCTCTGGATCTGCCTCTGGTGAAGCAGGAGGACCGTGCTTTGCAGGGGCAGGAGCCTCAGACAGAGGAGAAGGGAGTGTGGGTGCAGTGGGCAGATAGAGAGCAGGAAGCCCCGGCCCCTTGGGGCGCCTCCACTGGCGGGCAGTGGGTGTGGGCAGGAGGCATGGAGCCACTTAACAAACCTGCTTCCCAGGCTTCTGGCTCCTGTCCCTCACTTGTGCCACGTTAGCATCCTGCTACCAGGAGGAGGGGACACAGCAAGATGCTGTTTGAGGGGAAAATAAACCCAATCCAGCATCTCAGACACTTTTAAAAATAGCAACTTCCGGATGGTATTTCAGCTCCTATTTTTATCAGATTTCTATGACTGGACGATGAAGCCGAGCTGTTCCCAGGATTCTCAATAGCAGCGGACATCGCTGTTGTAGTGTTGGAAACCTGCCGGTAGGCCAAGGCTGAGATGCATTCCAGGAACCTGTAGGCTGGAAGAGATCCCAAGAGGTCACTGCATGCAGCCCTGCCTCTGTTTAGGGCCACGATCAATTAACCACAGACCGTTTATGGCTGGCCTTTTTCCTCAGAAATCTCCTGGTTGCCATGCCTCACCTCCACTGCATAGTCTAGGATTTCACGGCCCTTCTGATTAGGAAGTTCTTTTTAATATCTAGCCCAAATAGCTCTCGTTACATCCTCTTTTTGGCCCCTCTCACAGTAAAAAAAAATAGCAGCTAACATTTACTGAGCGATTACTATGTCCCAGGTGGTTTTATAGATATTCTCGTATTTAAGCCTCCCAGGAACCCTCTGGAGTAGGCACACTTACCACTCCCATTTTACAAACAGTTAAGTAAGTGGCACAAGATCCTATGTGCTTATGGTATAGATTCCACACTGGAACCATCAGACCCCACTGCCACCCACGCAGAGGGGGACAGACTGTCATGGATTGAATTGTGTCCCCCAAAAATATGTGTCAACTTGGCTAGGCCATGATTCCCAGTATTGTGTGATCGTCCACCATTTTGTAATCTGATGTGCTTTTCCTGTGTGTGTAGTAAATCCTGTCTCTATGATGTTGATAAAGCGGGATTAGTGGCAATTATGTTAATGAGGCAGGACTCGATCTACAAGATTAGGTTGTGTCTTAAATCAGCCTCTTTTGAGATATAAAAGAGACAAGCGAGCAGAGAGACATGGGGACCTCGTAGCACTAAGAAACAAAAGCCAGGAGAATAGCTAGTCCTTTGGACCCGGGGTCCCTGTGCTGAGAAGCTTCTCAACCAAGGAAGATTGATGACAAGGACCTTCCCCAGAGCCGACAGAGAAAGCCTTCCCCTGGAGCTGGCACCCTGAATTCGGACTTGTAGCCTCCTAGACTGTGAGAGAATAAATTTCTCTTTTTGTTAAAGCCATCTACTTGGGGTACTTCTGTTAACAGCAGCACTAGATGACTAAGACACAGACCCTTGTGAAATTTCCACTTAGGCCTTGGCTCTCACTTCTTCATCATGGTCCTGAAGGAAAAACTGGCTAATATTCTAATTGTACCTGTCTGCCCTGATGCTAGAAGCATTACCACCTATCACTCCCTGCCTTAGCTCTACGTCCCAGCCATATGGAGCCCAGGTCTCCCTAACTTCTGGGCGTTAGCTTGTGCTTGCCATTGGCTAACTTTCAAGTGTTATCCTAGAA